AGGCTAGTAGTTGGAGACGGGAAGACGGCACACGGAGCGGCAGCAGTGACACGGCCCCCGGGGGAGCCAGCTGGCCGCAGAGTGGTCACCAGGGAGAGAACAGAGAGCTTGCAGTGTCCGAGGACACGTCCCAGATGCGCTGTGACGACTCACGTGACCCGGTCGTTCCCTAAAGCGTAGCGTGGGTGTAGTGGGCTGTTGGCCAGGGCAGCAGGACGGGTGCTGGGGTGCTCGGTAGTCTCACCTGGAGTCACATAGGCACTTTGCTGTCCTGAAGCCACGTCCGCGGCAGCCCACACGTTTCGCTGTCAGGCCTCTAGTGCCCAGCTGGTGCGGACATTCCTGCCTGGGAGCTTGGGGAATGCCCCGGCCTGATCAGACATCTCCATGGAGAAGTCCAGCCGAGCCCTGGAGACACCCTGCCTGCTGCCGGTGGGTGTGTGACTGTGCGAGCTGCAGCTGTTGTCCTCGCAGTGGTTCCCGGATCGAGGCTTGCTTACAAAGGCCTCATGTGTCATTGTCGTGTATCCACTGTGGTTTGGGTGGCAGGCAGTGTACTATGGTTGGCCACAGAGGATGTGAGCTCGCCTCTTAGAGATCTGTAAATAATCAGTGTCATTGCCACAACCATCAATACACGTCGTCGAAGCAGCAGAGACAGTGCTTGCCAGCCTTTTGTTTCTAGAAGATTCATTTAGGGTAAATATGCACACCAAGACCACACTGAAAAGTTGGGGCCTCCCGCAGAAGTCTGCGGCTGGTGACGCCGCGCCCCACGGCAGCCGGAGTTCGCAGAGGTTTCGCACTGAGCCGTGTCACATGTGAGCATTTATCACTCTCAAACCCAAACTTTAAAAAACCCCACATGGTAGTTCTTGGTGAAAATGCTGGAGAAATTTATTTGTGTCTTTCCGGAAGTTTTTTCAGCTGAGTAATCAACTTCCTTTTCCTTTATTGTGGACAAACCAGTCATCGATGGTGCTCAGATTAGCCCTAGTGAGAAGTCTAATGATGTCGACCTGATGGCCTGCCTGCCTGTAGTCTAACTTTTGCTTTTAACAAAAACGGTTCATTTACCTGAGAGACAGACAGGGCTCTTACTTGCCAGGTCACTTGCCTGTAACAGCCAGGGCTGGGCCCGCTGTGCTCAGAGCTGGGAACTCACTTCTCCAACACGGGTGGCAGGGACCCAACTAGTTGAGCCATCACCGCTGTCTCCCCGGGGACGCATCAGCAGGAGCCTGGAGTCGGGAGCCAGAGTCAGGACTCAAAGCCAGGCACCTGCATGCCTCACTTGGGTGTCTTTACCGCCAAGCGTATTCTAAGTTCTGATTCTTGATGGTTTTCTCCACTACATTCTGATTTATATCTGTTTCTCTTATTCTTATGAACTGTCTCAAATCTCTCGTGTTAATGAGGAGAAATAGCAATTTTTTAGAAACTGCTTTGTTTGACGGTGTGGGGAGAATCCCAAGGGAAATGTGCAGAGAAAGAGGCCTTCCCAGTGGCAGCTCCAGAGGTGTGCAGATGTGTGTCCAGCTGGGCCCGAGATGACGCTGGGCTCGCTTCCTGTGCGTTATGTTCCTTACCCTTTCAATTCATCATAATTAAGATCAGCAGTGAAACGGTGCTGTGTTCACTTTTCGGAGCCGACAAGGATGGGACAGACTGGACCACTAGTGCAGGCCATCACTCCTCTACAAAGGACAAAATGGTGGGCAGCGCACCTTACAAAAGCCCAGTGGGCTCGGTTCCCCAAAGAAAGCAGCAGAATGTCCACAGGCTGAAGAGGTAGTTCTTGGTCTTTTTTAAAAATTTATTTTTTTAAAAAAATTTATTTGAAAGGGAGAGTTAGAGAGAGAGGAGGAGGAGAAGAGAGAGAGTGCTGCCATCCACTGTTTCACTCCCCAAATGGCCGCAGAGCCAGAAGCCAGGAGCTTCATCCAGGTCTCCCGCATAGGTGCAGGGGTCCAAGGACTTGGGACATCTGCTGTTGCTTTCCCAGGCCATAGCAGAGAGCTGGATGGGAAGTGGAGCAGCCAGGACTCCAGCTGGTACCCATACGGGATGCCAGCATCACGGGCAAGAGGCTTAACCTGTCACAACGCAACTCTCCAGCCACTGCCGTCATTTGGGGAGGGAACCAGCAGATGGAAGACTTCTCTGTCTCTCCCTCTCTTTTTAACTCTGTCTTTCCAATAAATACATAAATCTTTTAAAAATTTTTACTTTGTTAAAAATACAGAAGGGCCAGTGTTGTGGAACAGGGGATTGAGCCACTGCTTGTGACTGGGTTCCGTCCAGGCACCTGCCAATGGGCCTGGGAAGGAGTGGTTGATGGCCCACGTGCTTGGGTCCCTGCCACCCACCTGGGAGATGTGGATGGAATTCTTGGCTCCCAGTTTGAGCCTGGTCCATGCTTGGCCGTTTCAGGCATTAGGGAATGAACAACTGGATGGAAGATCTCTCCCTTTCAAATAAACAAATGTTTTTTTAAAAAAATACAGCCACAGGTCACGCATAGCAGGACTGCCAGGGGATGTACAGGCATATGGGCTTACAAAGATTCCTGGTGCAGTTCCAGCTAAGCCCTCGAATTCTGGTGCCTGGTGGCATCAGAATCCTGGATTTTTAGGAACTTGAATTCTTAGCACTGCAGGCAGGATCCTAGGGTGTTGACAGATTTTGGAGGATATATGCTTGCTTTGTATAAAACTTCCACCATGGCTAAATTTTCCCCATGGCCATGCAAACCTGGCTTTCATTTTAGTGACAAATTTAAAAAATAATCGAGCGCTGGCGCTCTAGCGCAGCAGGTTAACACCCTGGCCTGAAGCGCTGGCATCCCATATGGGCGCTGGTTCAAGACCCGGCTGCACCTCTTCTGATCCAGTTCTCTGCTATGGCCTGGGAAAGCAGTAGAAGATGGCCCAAGTCCTTGGGCCTCTGCACCCAAGTGGGAGACCCGGAAGAGGCTCCTAGCTCCTGGCTTTGGATCGGCACAGCTCCAGCAGTTACAGGCAATTGGGGAGTGAACCATCAGATGGAAGACCTCTCTCTCTGTCTCTACCTCTCTCTGTGACTCTGTCTTTCAAACAAATAAATCAATCTTAAAAAATCTATTACACTCTTGTGTTAATGGCAGTGGAGGGTTCCTGAGCCCTGAGCAGGGGAAACCACGGCTCATCCACAGGGTGCCCTTTGGTCCCCTCCTGCTCAGCCCTCGACGCTCGTCCCTTGCAGATGGAAACACCAGCTGCATTCTGGCACCCGGGGTGCCTACTGCCTCCCGTTCACTGGGTTTCCACTGCTCTTTTTCTGGCCGTGTGGCCAATAGCTGCGGTTTTCTCAGAATGCAGAGAATGACTGTCTTCTTTTCTGTCCCCACATTTCTTAGTCTGAATGAACACGTAAAATGAGTACAGTGGGAGTGGGTGTTTGGCAGGCCCACGCCCCGTTCTGAGTCCTGGCTGCGCTGTTCCATACAGATCCAGCTTCCTGCTAAGGCATATCCTGAAAGGTCTCTGAAGCGCTTGTCAAGGGATGATCTGGCCCGGGACCCTGATGTCAAGTAAACGAACCCCGTTATTCTTCCAGACATGCTGCTTCCAAAAAAACCTGCTGCAGGTGTGGGGGCCACATGGCCTCTCTTGGTGCCACTCCGGTGTTTTAACCGCCTGCGCGGCACAAGCAATCTCTCTTCATTCTCACTGCATTTCGTTTCTTGACGGAAACAGTAACTGCAGCTAGCCTATGCGACCCTAGCCGTTCTTTATCGAGTCCTGGCTCTTAGCAGTTTCTTGGTAGCATATCCTCAGATTCCGCGCTCACGCTCTGCGTTTGTAGCTCGGGGTCCCTGGCTGGATTCATCTCCGCTCCCTGGGAGCTGCAGGGTAGCAGGGGGGATGGCGAGTCCTCCTGCCGGCGGCGCTCTTACTTGGGGATGCTCCGTAGCTGAGCTGCTTCCCCAGCCTGCCTGCCGCGCGCATTCAGTAAGCGTTCGCCACTCAAATCACCACGTTTCCACCCTGCACATCTTCACGGCACACTGCTTTCCATGTTCTTGGCCGGTTAAGGCAAGAAATCCAGTCCTTGCTGGGGTGGGACGCGAACTTGAGACGTTCCATGGTCCTGGAGTCCGGGGGCTTCCAAGGCAGGCTCCGCACCGCCGCACGTGCACCTGCCCAGGGCACGGCGCGAGGTTTTGAGGGTTTGAGGGTACTCTCCAGTTTCCTGCACCGGGGCTGCCAGAATTCTGCCTCCAACAGAGATCGGTCCTAAAATGCGGACGCGGTCCTGTCACTTCATGACACGAACCACCCCCACCGCCCGCCCCGTGGCTGTCCAGGGTCCGGCGGGCTGCGCCCAAACCCCTCCCTCGCGTGCCAAGCCAGGCGCGCCGGGATCCGGCCCCTGCCCTGCCTCGGCGGCCCGCGCACCCCCTCGGCAGCTCTGCCGCCGTGGCTCTGAGCGCCCTCGCCGCGCACGGCCCCGGTGAGCGCACTGGAAGCAGGCCCGGGGAAGACAGAGCGGAAGCGGGGAGAGGGCCCATTCCGCTCCGGATCGCGGACGCTGGGCTGGGCAGGGTCCGGAAGACGTGGGAGGCAGGCCCCTTCTGCGGCCTGCAGGGGCACCGGCCGGCCGGGGTCGAATCGGGGTGTCTGGGGGCGACCCCCACGGGCACCTCCAAGACCACGCCCCGTGCGGACCCGCAGGCCGAGCCGCCCGTGCCCAGCACGTGGAGAGCTAGCCTTCCAGTGCAGGGCGCCGGGCGCCGCGGCCGCTCGGCTTCTCCCCACCTCCGTCCTCGCGGCCCCCGGGGGCGTCGCCGCCCGCGCCCCGCGCCCCGCCCCGCCGCACGCCTGACCTCGCGGCCGGCCCTGGGCGCGCTGTGCGTCCGGCTTCCGGGCGGGGCGGGCCGGCCGCCGGGCAGTGGGCGGGGAAGGGGCGGCGCGGGCGGGGACGCGCTGCGCCCGCGGCTGCGCGGAGCCGCTCCCTGCGCGGCGGGTCGCCGGGGCCGGCGGCGGGCGCGGGGCGCGGGCCGCGATGCGGCGCTACCTGCGCGTCGTGGCGCTGGGCCTGGCCTGCGGCTTCTGCTCGCTGCTCTACGCCTTCAGCCAGCTCGCCGCGGGCCCCGAGCGCGGCGCGGGCGGGGAGCCGCGGGCCGCGGCGGCCTCCTGGCTCGCGGGCGGCGGGCGCGGCGTCGTGAGCGGGGCGGGCAGCGCGGGCCCCGCGGCGCGTCCCGGCCGGGCGGACAGGTACGGGCGGCCGCGTTGGCACTGCGGAGCCGGGGGCGCGCCGGGGTTCGGGGTCCGGGCGGAGGCGGGGGCGCGCGGGGCGGGGGGGCGGGGTCTGCCGGGCCGGGGCTGCTCGCGCGTCCGCTCCGCGTCCCGGCCGCCGGCCCGGGCGAACCGGCTGCTCCGCCCGGGCGCGCCACGCCCGTGGGTCCGTTCCGACCCGTGTGTGTGTGGCGCTCTTCGGAGCAGGGAGAAGTTGGTTTCCAGCCTCTCGCTGGGAGACTCGGAGCTGCCCGGCGCCCGGGGACGTCCCCCTGGTGCTGGCGGCACCGCTGCGGGTGGCGTCGTGAGTCTGCACGTGCCCGTGCGCCCGCGCTGTGCGTGTTCTTTCTGGGATCACTCGGTGTACGCCGAAGCTGGTGGGGAGTTAAGAATGACTGGCGATCCTTAGCCATGCCCTGGTCTGCGGGGGTGGGGTAGAGCGATCTTTCTAGAAACAGCTAGAAAGCAGCAGGATGGCCTGGGTGGTCTTGGGGAAGTCGCTGCCCGAGTTGGTGTGGGTGTGAGGTCTGGGTGTCTCCGGCGGCGCACTCTGAAAACAGCCAAGGAAGCCTGGGCGTTCGCCGTGGCTGGAGGTGAGCATCTGAGTGCGCGCCTCTCGGAACCTCTGGGGCCCGAGAGGAGCCCCGGGCTCGTGCCTGCAGCCTCCGAGCCTTGCTGGTCACCGCCTCGGTGAAGCCGGTGCAGGTGCCGCGAGGAGAAGCTGCCTGGTCATTTGCTGTGTCTTGAGAGTCAGAGACCCGCGTTCCCAAGATAAAGAGGACAGGCGGATACGTCCGTGCCTTTAGCCACCACTTTCCTGCTTTTTAAAAAGTTTGCGTTAAAGAGCTGAGGAGAGCGTGGGCATGGGAGCCCCAGGTCCCCTCTACCCTCCCCACCCTCTGAGGGCCAGGGCTGAGCTGGGGAGCGCACACCTGGGTGTCCGTGTGACTGACAGGGCTCAGCTCCTTAGGCCCGCTCCCCTGCTGTTGCGGGTCCAGGCTGGCCGGGGGCGGCCGTCAGGTGCAGACGGGGCACTGCGCTGTGTCGCTTCCACCCATCGTGTTGCCGGTCCATCCTGTTGCCAGCCCTGCTATTAGATTCAGGTCAGGCAGGTTCCAGGAGTTCGGGACTGCCTCCCGGGCCAGGCCTGTCACCCTGGGTGTCAGTCCTGGGAGGGGCAGGGACGGCTGACCTCGGGGAGCCCACAGAAAAGGGCAGGTGGAAGCTGAGCTGTGTGTGCTCTGGGGCTGCTGCGCATTATTTTCGGCCTCGATGGGACTGTGAAGGAGCAGCCTCTTCCTAGACCTGAGAGCCTGGCGGTGGAGGGTGAGGTCAGCATTCCACCTGCCACGGGAACGTGCCTGTTCCGTGCCTGGCCCCGCAGCAGGCTTTTATCAGCTTGTATTTACTTTGCCGGCAGTGTTTAGGAGGTAGCTTGGTATTTAGGAGAGCGCGGAGTGTGATGTGTCAGAGCTGAGTCAGCCGCAAGGCTGCTCTCGATGGGGTCTCTGTCCAGGTCCAGCGTGGGGCTGGCAGCGTGTGAAGCCGCCCTGGAGAAGGTTCCGTCCCCCTGGCGCAGAAGCCGGTGTTTGGGCAGAGAGGCCTCCGGAAACTCTGGCTGGTCCCCTTGGACCTGTGGTGTGATTTGGTCAGGCAAGTCCCTAGGGCATCATGATTGTATTTCAGAGACTTCTAGCATCTTTGTGCAGAACTCAGAGGTAGAACAACTTCATTAGGCTGCTGTGGGATGTGGAGGTTTGGTTGTTTTTTAAGATTTTGTTTTATTTCTTTGAAAGTTGGAGATACGGGAGGGAGAGGCAAAGATCTTCCTTCTGCTGGTTCACTCCCCAAAAGGCCACAACAGCTAGGGCTGTGCCAGGCCGAAGCCAGGAGCTTGGAACTCCATCCTGGACTCCTGTGTGGGTAGCGGGAGGCCCAAGCACCATCTTCCCTAACGCTGCTTTCCCAGGCCCCTTAGCAGGGAGCCAGATCAGAAGTGGAGCAGCTGGGACTCAAACTGGTTCTCATATGAGATGCCCACAGCGGCTTAACCTTCACATCACAGCAGTGGGCTGTGGGGGTAGCCTCTCTTTCTTTCTTTTTTTGGCAGGCAGAGTTAGAGAGACAGAGAGAGAGACAGAGAGAAAGGTCTTCTTTCTGTTGGTTCACCCCCCAGATGGCTGCTACAGCCGGTGCTGTGCCGATCCGAAGGCAGGAGCCAGGTGCTTCCTCCTGGTCTCCCATGGGGTGCAGGGCCCAAGGACCTGGGCCATCCTCCACTGCACTCCCGGGCCACAGCAGAGAGCTGGCCTGGAAGAGGGGCAACTGGGACAGAATCCGGCGCCCCAACCTGGACTAGAACCTGTTGTGCCGGCGCTGCAAGGTGGAGGATTAGCCTAGTGAGCCGCGGCGCCGGCCTACTCTTCCTATGTGTGATCATTTGGCCACCGTGTGTGTATATGGCAACAGCATTAGAACTGAGTACCCCCTGGTTGCTGTCCACTGTCCACCTCTCAAGGTGAGGGCTTCTTCCGTGCAGGCTGTGGAGAACGGGGCTGCGAGGAAAGCCGGCGCCCTCCTCCCGCAGAGAACTCCGGTGTCACTGCCCTCTTACTTCTTTTGATGTCCTCGTACCTGAAAGGTTGGAGCTGATGTAGCTCTGTTTCATTTAAAATTCAGTACTCGTTCTCAGTGTGTCCTGAATAGCCTTCGCTGGTCACCTCTTAAATTATTCCTTGCACAGAATTCCATGGCCACAGAGTACTTGGAAGGATCCTTAAAGTATGCACTTTAACACAATGGGAACTCTTCAGGGAGAAGTCTCACTGCTCGTTGTGTTGTATCTGATTACTGTTTAAGTAGTCAGAAAATGAGGAGGTTCCAGACAGACTTGTGTTCTCCTGTGCAGCCGTGGCCAAATTGGTGCCAACTCTGTGCGTTAATTTCCTCACCTGGAGAGGAGATCATAGATCTCTTACCTGATTTTTGTCAGCTGTGTTGGGCTATAGCTGACAAGTAGAAACTTTATGAACTTGAAGTTTACAGCCTTAGGTTCTGATGCAAGCATGTGTTGTGAGAGACCTCCGCAGTCAAACTGGTTGACGTGTCTGTCACCTCGCTTGGTTTCTTAGTGTGCACTGTGCGTGTGTATGGCAAGCACACAGCTTCTCTTGTAGATTTCTAGTGTGCAACACAGTATCTCCAGCCACTGTCCTGCACGTAGATGACCTCAGTCAGCTGGTAGCAGCATTCTGACCTGCTGTTGATTGGAATCCAGCCCTGCCATCCTCAGCACAGTGGGTACTTCTAAGCCTCTCGGGGCTGCCAGAGGGGCACGGTGCCTGGACCGCTCCAGAGAGCAGCAGTGCTGGGGACTGTTGGGTCCGGTCCTGCTGCAAGCAGGCTGTGTTCTCAGAGGCTTCCTGTTCTGACGCTTTTTCTTCTGTCTCATAGCCCGCGGGGAAGGCTCTGGTCGGCCTTGCGCATCCGGGGACCAGGGTGGCCTTTGCCGGCTCTGTGCCCCATCTGCACCCCTGTGGCAGGCTCCGTATCGTGCTGGGGAGCGGTGGCTGCTCACCTGGGGAGGCTCCTCCATGTGGGCAGACTCGGGGCGGTTGTGGAACTTGGGCCAGAGGAGTTAATGCTACTGAGACTTCGAGCATTTCAGCCCCTTGGGGTGATTCCAGCCCGCACTTAGCCAGGCGGTGTTGACAATGTTGGTGGTGAGGGTTTCACACGGTGGTGTTGGTAGTGGTGAAACCAGGAGTCCACCAGGCATTTCGGTGACAGCTTTCCTGGACTTGGGCCCTCACTGTGCCTGGTGGCCACACGGGAGGGCACCTCGCTGTCCTTTCGGGTCTGTGGAGGGTTCGGAGTCAGCATCTTCACCAGGTCCTGGGAGTGCGGATTGGAAGAATGCGGGCTGGGGCTGTGGGCCCTAGGTCAGCCCTGCCTCTTGCCAGCTGGGCTGCCGGGGCCCCGGCGAGAGCAGACAGGAATGAAGTGAAGGCCTCCATCTGGATGTCAGGGTGGTGCCTGGGACTCTGACATTGCAGCTAGCACGGGCTCCTTTTGATGCTGTAGATCGTGGGGGACTTATCCCGGCTTCTGACCTCGCTCAGCCAGCTCGCCTGGCAGTGGGGTCCAGGACACTGTGTCTTAGAGGTGTGCTCCGTGCTGTCACAATACCAGAGATGGAGCTGGGGCTGGCTTTTGGAGTGGAGTGTCTTGCTCTGGGTGGTCCACCACAGCACAAACCTTTTTTCTCTGGTGTGGGGGTCTTAGGAAGTCCAGGGTGAAAGTCCCAGCAGATCTGGGGTCTGTGGGGACCTCCTTGATAAGGACGCCAAGTGCTCACCTCCCGACCCCGTCACCAGGGGTTGGGTTTCGAGGAGAGACTTCTGGCCAGCAAGTGCGTGGCGCAAACCTGACCAGCAGCATTTAATAAAGGCTTGTAATTAACGTAATTAGAATAATAGTCTTCTGTGCTTTTGGAGGGGTCACAGATGGGCTAGTGCAAGAGTCTTGGGCAGTTTTGATTTAGAAGCCCTGTTTTAACGCGTTGAGACAGTGCTCACTCGCTGGAAGTCCCGCCTGCCGCCACCGCGTACACGTCATCTTAAATTTGGTTCGTGATGTGTGCACTGCAGGAAGCCTCCAGTGTGTTTTTCCTTTGTTACCTTTGCCTTTATGAGGTTTAGACAGACTTTGCACCAGAGACTTCTCTGACATTTAAATCTGTAATCCAGGTTTTTCTGGTGTGTGGGATGTGCCTGCTGTGGCTGTAAACCTGCTCTTTCATGCTGCGGTAGGTGCTTCAGTGCTGTTCTCTGTAAACGCTGCTTTTTCCGCTGAGTATTCATGATATTGAACATTTAGGAAAAAGGAGTGAAGGTCTGACTTAGGAGTGAGATGTTAGAACAAGTCTTCCGGGGCACTCGATTGCTCGTTGTTGGCCTGGGGGTCCTTGGTGCTGGTGC